TCTACTGTAAATGTGACACCCCTCCCATAGCCTGTTAAATTCAGTCTGCAAATAAATTTTGTTCTGTCAGAAATTTGAACAGTTAAAATACGGGAGACTTTGATCCAAGTCGTGAATATTTATGAAACCGACCTTTTTTGCCAAATAGTGGACTGCTTCGACTCAACAAATGCTATCTGAATATTGTGGCTACGCCGCCCCCACTAATTGGAGGACACTGCTGCACGAGCTGACACTTTTTAATATTAATGCGTCAGTTTACACGAGCATACTTGGATCGACACCCACCGCTTAGTCTTTTACTCAATAACAAGGAGGTCGAGTTTTAAGCTCTCGAATCCAGAGTCTTGTGTGGTATAGTGCTGGCACCCAACAATGTTTACAGATACGAACAAAACTTTCTCGACTAGAGTTGGAGGCTACACCGATCAGGATGTTATACGAGTTAGTGCCTGCCCTAAATCGATAAAGGTGCGCGGTTGGAAGTAAGGCCCGCCCGTGCATTTTCGCCGAGCCTTTATGAGTACGCAGAGTGTTGTCTTGCGCACGAGTTTTGATACAGATTTTCAGCACTGGTCCGATTTGATGAAAATATCCCCTTTTCACCGCAAGGTTCCCACAAATTGGCATATTTTTTTGCTGTAGTAAAAATATTATGATCCTCGGACGTTGAAATCCTGAATACCGTAATTTCAACATATTTTTTGTTTGACTGGGATGAAACATTGCATATGTATAAATGTACAAAACGCGCATGGAATTATCTGTGGCCACATAAGTCACAATTAATATTTCCCGCATCGCCAGATGAGGAGGGGAATGCTGACGTACAAGCAGAACTGCGAGATAAGATCAATAATTGAAAGAGTTTCAGAGTCACAGCACGTCTGATCGAATGACGTATGATCAAATCACGTGTCACATTATTTGCAGTCGAGTGAATATAGTCTTGAAATAGTGTTTGCTTTAGGCGTTACTGAACTCGTAACCAAACTTGTCCCAATGTCAGACGGAAATCCGATTGTATACCAATGTTTGAAGTGGCTTGTTCGCATTGAGGAGGTTGGGAGATGGTGTCGACAATTATGATGCATCGTATAACGCCGATTCACCCCCATCGAGGCAAGGCCGATAAAGATGCAATGAAGACTAGTGGACTTTAATCTGTGTCAGGAAACCATCATAGTACACCTGCAGACATGAACATGTGCTCTATACAGTTGCATAGTGGCCCCACGCCCTCCCACGAGAATAACAAAATGAGCACTCTAGCCCCAACTGAATTTTGGAAAGACAAGAAAATTATACCAGAAGTTGTCTGCAAACTGACATGTATACCACCCCCTTGACATTGCACCTTCTACCCTATAATGAGGCTGTTTGTGGGATATGTCGATTATTATTACCAACCAGCTTAATCAATAACCTGTTCCATCAAAGTTTGTCGACAAACCATCTCTGGCTTATTAGTACAACGGGTTCTCAAACGGAAAACTCCTTGAAACAAAGGCTGAAAAATGCAGTAAAATTCTCCAAAACGGAGACGCTGGTTTATAAGCACTGTTGGTCAGTAACGTGCTTCCACGGAATTGCAATCAACAGTCGTTTATGAATAAACCTAAACTTAAAGGAACAAAGTTGTATCATATCACCATTTCAAACAATGGTTACAATGAGGGCGACAGAATAATGATGGTGCCATGTACACAATCTGAATAGCAGTAAGGTATGTTTGCAGTGTAAACATACCTTACTCTTATTCAAATTTGTTATCGAATATTCTTGTTCCCGTTTTCTTATCACACAGCAGCCCTTCAGCAGACACCGAAATTATCCCCTTATCTGTACCCAAAGTGAGACCTAGACAAACAGAATATCCTTTACGGGTTGTATACTTTGCTCTCGTCAAAGGTAACTCGACCATGCCCGTTCTGGCCCTTTTGACTTTTTGAGGGCCTGAGCACGTTCGAGATAAACCCAAGTGTGTGCACTCGTATAATAGTTATCAGCAGCAAACAGATCCCAGTGCCCTGGCATATCTGGACCACCGTATCTCGTTTGCCGCCTTAACTGAACTGGAAACTAAAAAAAAATATGATTCGTTAATTTATTATTTTCAGTTCACACCTTCTTCTGGACGTTTACATTATAATGGTTAGTTTGTGATTTGAATTTATTTTGACCAGACCCGTTGGATTTACCACTTTTGCATATACACACCTCGTCAATGTCAACAACAGTAGGATGCTCTGGGCACTATCTCATAGTTTGAACATAAATTCCGAATCCTGGCTAAAGAAACCACGTTGGTTTGGAGAAGTATAGCTTCAGCAAATAGATAAAGTACTGTTTTTGTGAAAAAGATTTAGGCTAATGTTGTAATATTAATTTCACCCGTGATACAGCATTATCTCGTTTACACGACCAATAAACAAAATAAGGATTTTTGTGGTAAACCTGTGTAAAAATAGTAGTTTTATACGGAGTTGATGCTCGCAGATTTATGAAATTCTTGTCGAAATGCTCGAAGGACATCACTCTGAAAGCTCGTAATTAAAGCATCAGTAGACATGGCCTTATGCATCATTTATCCATACTTATACTCAGTAGTTTGACAGAGTTCGTCATCTTATAAAGACAGCAAATCAAACAAACAGACTAAAAGTCCCACTAGTTTTGCACAGGGTAATTCATTTGAAATCCCACAGAATGCTTCATCATGTGTAGGCTGTGTGGCATTTGATCTACTGGTCCCCACAAGTCACAGCTATACTCCAACGTAAACATGCATGGGGTTCGAAAACTGCGATTCGATCTGTGTGAATGTAGCTGTGTTGTCATTTACATAGGAGAAACTGAAATCCAGTTTCAAAGCCTGTCTCGTCAGACAGTTAATTTGAACAGTGGGATACGGCCACTGCAGCCAATACGACAGTAAATAAACTCTGAAGAATAAAGACAGTTTTTTCTGGTTTTAAAACTAAAGGACAGTTTTAACTGATCAAGAATTCCAGCAGCACTTACCTATTTGCAGGCATAAGCTGTGGCTTCATCCCAAGCTTGTCAATGGCTAAGCAAAGTCATTGAGTACGCCGATTGCTGTGAAACACCTGTTGAGATACGGACCAATCACACCAATCTAGCCCACCTGCGGCTCCACAATGTCGCACTGTCAAGGAGTCGTTTGCAATGATTAATCGATGGTTGGGAATTATGAAACGGAAGCTTCTGACGGAACGTCAGTCCAAACTCCGAATTCCTTGTTTGATTTTAACGTTTCTACAGCTAAATTAATCATGCCCCTTTTTGACAAACAAATTTGAAGCCATGTTTTAGCCCTGTCATAGTGCGATGATGTTGGCAGGTTGGAAAATGTGTTACAAACTAACATCGTGTAATTATGAGGCTGTTTACACAATTAATTTCAAATGCAGACCAATTAAATAATCTTTAACAATGATAAAAATCACTTGAATATTGACACCCAAAGTAGAAGTAGACCATTATAAATTGGAATAGGTTCAGTAACTAGATTGGAACTCGTGACTGATTACTTAACAGCTGGCACTAACGTAACTGATCTTTGCAGCGTAGTTTCAACTCTTGTACTTTTTTTGCAGGTGTTGAGTTATCAATCATCACCATCATAACGTCGAATTATGAGAATTCACTCTTTTAGGCCACTTTCTAATCACCCACTGCTTCTATGAGTTTAATAAACCAATGTCTCGAAGACTGCATAACAAAAAGAAAAAAAAGAGAAAAAAAGAGGGGGATAATTGTGTCCCGGCTGCGGATTACGTTTTCATTGTGTATACACAATGGACACGGCGTGCAGAGGGCGCTAACAAACCAGTTTTGTTTTGCCCGGACATAATCTTCTATGTTTCCTTCAAGCTTCAGCATAGACACAGTTAGGCCTGTTTAAAGGAAAATTTCTGTTTGGATCTTATAAAAGAATCCTCGCATGTACAAGAAAGGCTTGCTGAAAAACACGTTTGACATGGACGGTTTCAGTGTGGAAATGCAAAAAAGGTAGAATTCAATTGACTAATTTCAAAATCACGTTTATTTAGCTGGACTACTAAGAAGTGCTCAGAAATTAAAACAATCCATTGTTACATGTTTACTTTTCATCGAGATAAAATTGTGCCTAAAATAAATAGTTGTTTCCGCATGTTAAACTAAACACAAACGGCCTTCACATTGGTATGGCTTGTAACACTAAAATGTTTCTACTCCTGGTGGTTGTCCTTCAAGATTGATTCAAAGGAAGAGTTGGCAGGATCGTTTTACGAAAGTGCAAAGGTATCAAGAGTATACATTCGCACATAGGCTCGGGCAATGGAATCAGGGAGACAAACTCTCCGTAGCGCTCTCACTTTCTTTTGAATTCTTTGGATCAATCTATTTTTCTCGATATATTCTAGAACTCCCCCTTTTTTTAATTATCTTGGAATTTCTGAGTATTTTTGTTTATTTGTTCACCTTAAATTCATCTTGGTATTGATATTCAGTGTCGGCTTCTCAATTTATCAAATAAAGTATTTAGCCCCAAGCTTGCTCAATAACGTTTCTGCATTAGCTTGAATTGTTTCAGTGGATATGTGACAATATTTTTTCTTTTCCCTGGCTTTTTTTGCAAATTCCACAGAAGCCCCTTTTATGACATTCAATGTTTCGTTTTCCATTATCTTTATAAACCATTTTCATTTTGCTTCTGTTTTCTCAAATTCTTTGAATTGTCTTTCACACTTTCGAATTCCCTGCAATTTCTATGTATTTTTTTGCTATTAGAATTATCCTTTTTCTCAAATTTTCTTAACCCTAACAACGTCAATCCTCACATTTCAATATGATTTTACATACACCTGGGGGGTTTAAAATAGGCACTGTCTGCAGCCAGCTCGCCGAGAGCTAAAAGAAGAGCGTCCTCAGTAGGGACTTCCATGATGTATAACTGTTGGTGGCGCCCTTCTTTGTTGATCGACAGCTGTTGCCAGGACGTTGTCTAGCACAGGTAAACAATGCACATGCAACAAAGTTTATGCAGTCTGTGATCTAGCCTACCGTATTCTTACACTACAATCCTACAGGGTCGATTGGAAAATATTTGTTTTATGAACCCATGTTGTCATACTCATGCTGTAAGCGCACCACTGCTCTTTAAACAGGAATTTCTGAAACTGTCCAAGTCATACATTTCTCAGTTCTTGACTTAGTATTGTAGAATTGTTGAGCTATCAAAATTGAAAATGCCTCCAGAGAGAAGATTTGACTTGCACAAAACGAGTTCTGGGCGAGGTCTCGACTACAAGCCAGAGTATTATTTTCCGGCCTCAGATTTTAAGGTAAGTTTGTTTCTTTAACTTCAGTAGTTTACTTTCAATTAGACCTTAAATTAAGTCATGTGTTCAGTTCGTGAATAATCACACTTGTCTCAGCATTTACTGTCTGTATGATTGTCACTACGGACTTTTAACATGTGGCCTAGGGCCAAATTTAGCCTTTGTGCTATAGAGTACCAAAGTGTGACATCATTTAGAACCAGTTAAGGCCGTACAAATGAATGGAGTACCCGCAGGTATTGGTTCACGCACTGGTACTGGCACTTTTTATACACATAAGTGTGCGTATGACATATTCACTTCGATACTCTATTCAATAATGTACAGAAGTTCCAGCATGTCTGATCATGAGAATTCATTCGGAATGCCTCTTTCCATAAATTGAGTCCAAAATCATGCCTTTTAAACACTCCTTTCAATTTGACAATCCGTCCATCTACATATTTTATGTAGGGCCTAGTCCCTGTTAGTGTTATAGTTTTTGCAACTCATGGCTTGCAGGAAATTTGTAACAACATTGTAAGTTTTAATCATTTGTGTCTTTTAAACTTCTGTATTTAACAGAAAAATCTCCAGTAAAAGCAAGTCTTTGAAAAAAAATTGTACGATAGTTTTTAAAAGTCTACGGTCCTAAAAATCCACATTTTTGTCTTGTAGCAAATTTGAATGCAAATAAAGAATGGCAAGTTTCCACTCTTCATTGTGCTCCTTGAATTGAACTAAACCATTTTGTCTTCCATCCATCTGTGCAGACCACAGTCAGTAATCCCTTACCGCCAGAACTGGCTAAACAAGACGAGATCATCAAGCCCTACACAACCACAACGGGAGAGACTCATGACTTCAAACACCATGATGCAATACTGGGTAATCCACAGCACCAGAAGGCACCCGGACACTGGAACATCCATTATAATAAAGACCTACGGGAAAAAGTAAGTATTGCCCCTTTAAAAAAGTGTTCCTTCCAAATCTCTCTCGTGCAACACACTTTCACATTTCCACTTTGATTAAGTAGACATATGAGTGTTGGGTTATACAGCTAGCACAGAAATGCAAGAAGAGAAACTGGAATGTAGAAACAGCTACCGAGTACCATACTGCTGTCTTCGTGTGAAGAAAAGCAGTTGGAAATTCCTGTAAGACACGTCACAATCTTTTGCCTCCCTTTTCTACAGCTCCAGAATCGGCCGTGGAGGAAACCGTTGACCATGGGTAATCAAGAATCCGAAGTGCAGTCCAACTTCAAGGGAGCTCAGACCCAGCCAGGTGTTGATTTCAATACCATTGTCAAGCCTCAAACCACTGACTTGATAGACCACCACAGGAACATGCCAGCCCCACCTAAGGTACGTGGCTCAGCTACATGTACGAGATGAAAGAAAGGGGTTGTCAAACTGAAAATGGCATTTTTCAAAATGGAATCTTTTTTTGCGTTCTGATGGTTTGAATTTCATAACTGGTCCTGCTCCTTTACTGAAATAATGGAGGTTGTAGATGTATTTAGAGGTCACTGCCTTGTTAGTATGTCACGGATGTACTTGCTGAGCCCATGCTAAGCCCTCTCAACAGCCTGCTTACAAGTAAGAGGCTGTTCAGGACAAAGGAATAA